CTTTCCCTATTCCCAGTCTTTAAGATAAGCTAAGCTAACTGGCTCCAGCTTCATGTTTAATGGACAGATATGAAAGTTACATCAGTCTGATCATTTAACTCTCAGCAAGAGAGCAAATAAATCTATTTCCTAAAGTGTTGAGCTGTTTCTTTAATAAGGTCACTATCACCCTGATAATCCACCAAGTTACTGGACAGGTTACTTCATCCATACTACGAAGCCTAAAAAAAATGTAAAATCTGCTTGTATTTATTGCCTCAGAATCTTTATTTACCTTTATACAGTCAACAGTCTCTGATTTGTCTTTTATGTACTCACCTACAGGTTATCTATATGGGAGTCTGTGTGTATACTCCTGCTTTTGCACTAAATGCGGGTACAAAAATTTATATTTATAGTCATATTTTTTTTCACAGTCTCATGAAGTTTGAGTAAATGTGATTAAATGTGCTCCTGTGTTTTCTTTCAGTTACTGGATTTGAATTATGGGGAATAATTCTGGTCACTGGCTTAGTGTGCACATTGTACACAACATTGGTGAGTTGCTAAGAGTCATTTTCAAGCAGCTTAATTCACTGGCTCGTTGCACATTCAGGGCCGGTTCACTCTCCTCTTTGGATTTCTATTCTTTTGTTTTTGGGTAGTCCAACAGGATGTGATGGCTCTCTTGATAACTTAGGACTGACTTTATCCTTGTAGAAAGTCACTTTCGGCTTTTCCAGTTTAGGGGTCGCCACAGCGAAAATTATACACATTTGATCCCAGAAAGGTGATAATCCTACAAAAATGGCTCATGAATCACTTGTAGAAAGGTGGATATTTTAGACAATGTAATAAAGTAGGGTTGTTTACTCAAACATGTGTCAAGCATGTTCAGTTAAAAATATTTTAGCAAATGTCAGAGTTAATCCCATGTGTCTTGTCTGTTCATGACAGGGAGGCCTGAAGGCTGTCATCTGGACAGATGTCTTTCAGACTGTTGTGATGTTTGCAGGGCAACTGGCTGTCATCGTGGTGGGAGTGCAGCGGACTGGGGGAGTAGCCGAAGTTTGGAGGAAAGTCTGGGAGGGAAACCGCATCTCAGGTCTTGAGTAAGTCCAAACTCTTTTTAGGTGAATTACCAACAAAAGGTGTACACAGATGCATCATGATGCTGCAGTTTAGTAAAGTGGAGATTAGTTATACAAACTCCAACATTAATCCTTGATTTTATTCTCAGAAGATTTTCCTTTGGTTTACTGTAGATTGTAGTTCTATATGTGGTGTATGTAAACTGCCATTTACTTTCTATTGCCGATCATATTGAAGAGGAAGGAAAGTTATTTACATGTTGTCAGAATTTGCCTTCTGGACTTGAACATATAGTGTAGGATAGTGTAGGGTCTTGTTAACAGCACTAGAAAACATTAGGCCAAACTGAAAACCGGCCATTTCCAATCGATCGATGCATCTCTACTTAAGATTTTCCCGATAAGGTTAAACTATCAACTCTCTACTGCATCTCTCTCTTGTGTTCAGCTTGAACCCAGATCCTACAGAGAGACACACCTTCTGGACCCTGGCTGTTGGTGGGGTCTTTCTCATGATGTCCCTGTACGGAGTGAACCAGACTCAGGTCCAGAGATATCTCAGCTCACGCACAGAGAAAGACGCTGTCAGGTACACAGACTTCAGATTGTCTGTGTCTCTTTAGATTTATAGTGTAGATTGTCATCTTGGTATGAAAGTTTTCACAGTGAACTCAGGCTGGAAATGCATTTGAAAAGCAATTCATAACACAACAAAGGGTGAAGGAAAGTCAAGGAGTCCAAAGACACCAACACAGCAATTATTTCATCCAAGTAGTCAAGTTGCCATAATTCACACAAGACACCAGGGGGTGGCAACATTCATACAGTGGACCAACATTCATCCAGGGCTTGATCTCAGAGTGCTCATTCAAAGGATGAGGGGAAAAGGTATTGAGAGTGTTGGACACATTTTCTGTCTGTGTACTTTCGGTACATCTTGAGTGTATATTACTTGTGATTCAGTGACTGTAATACGCAGTTAATGCAAATATTTATTTTTCATTTTCAAACTGGTGGCTGTGGAAGAGGATTAGGACCATCAAAGTTTAAAGTCAGACCTCAAATACATTTTATACAGTGGCCCTAAATTTCTTCTGTAGGTTGGCAATGATAAATGAATTCCTTGATTTGATTTGATTTGATTTTATTTATTCTTTCAAACATGTAAAGACAGTCAATATGTCAACACACATAATTTCACACATATCCACAAATGCATTATCAATTTGCTTATACCTAGTACATGCTTGAACGGAGTAGGAAGAAGTTAGACTTATCTAGTCCTACCCCAT